GAATGCCTGCCCCTGGAGCTTGAAGCCATCGTGTCAAATGGAAACTGCACAAATTGTTGCGTCGATGTCATCTCTATATTAAGGTCAAAGAAATTTACAGATGAATGTTTTCCCCTTGAACTGGACGCGATGTTGCCATACAGATTGTTGTGAACCCACCTCGGTACATATCGTAAAGAGTTGCGGATGAATGTCTCCCCATTGAAGTTGATGTGACGGCACCATGATGCGGATTTCCCATTATGGCGTTAAAATCATTACACATTACTATAATCGAGCTGTCAACTTGATCAACTTGTTCAGCCAGCCCATTGTGGGAGCTTAATGACTGACCCCGAACAGTACACACTTAAACAAACTTTGCATACATCTCAATATCGGCGTCTGAATAATTACTTTGAGAATCAGCCATCATTTCAACATCATCATTGTTCGATAGTTCGAACGCTGTATAAGTTAATGACAACAATGATGTTGGAAATCTGTACTGCTACGACGACATTCTTCTACTACTTCCAACATGAACCTTCCTTGAAATCTTCGTTATCAGTTCCTCAAGAGTTATGTTTCTTTTGAATGATATTTTAACACGCTCATTTGATACGAAAACAACGCTGGTTTCATCTTCTCGAATTTCTCTATCATAACAAACAATAGTTGAAAGTCGCGTCATTCTTAGAGTTTAAAAGTGCGACAATATTATATCTGCAAAAAAACAACTGAAACAAACCTGATTAAATAAATAATATATGAACGAAAATATAACACAATAAATTTTTTACACATGAATGTAAATAATTTAAATAATATAATTTTATATTATTACCTGGACCGCAAAAATATTTCGACGTATGCTCCCGCTTTCCAATTTTACAAACACAGAAATTAATTGAAAACAATTAATATAATATTTTTTTCTTCAAATAATCATATATAATTATAAAAAAAATAATATAACAAAATTACTTTATAACGAAAGATCGAACGAACTTCTGAATCAAATATAAGAAGATTGTCGGGTGTTATTTACTGGTTGAAAGGATTGTTGGTGAGAGAGTATACAGGGATAGGGCTATTTATAGCCGAGAGATGATGCTTTAAAGTCGAGAAGTTCGGGTAAATTATGCAAGGCGCGGTCCCTACTCTGCGCCTTGCATTATGCATGTCTGATAATTGAGCATGTGATAATTGAAAAGCGCGGCCCCTGCACCGCAGTATAACCTTACGTGGAGTAAGGTGCGCCTCATAGGCCGCGCTATAGCCACGTGTATCCAACTCGGCATAAAGCGCGTTGCAGGGGGCGCTTTACCACACGTGGCGTCATATCAACGTAAAACGTGTTACAGGGGGCGCGCCTTACCCTACGTGACACCATATCAAAGTAAATCGCACTGTAAGAAATGCACCTTACTGTAAAGAGTGTTTGATCGATAAAGTAGTGTGAAGGGTGTCTGACAAAGAAATATATAATATATAGATGATATATCAGGAAAAACGCCTATGAGGTGATATTATGAGAAAAAGGCCGAAAAATAGGGAGGAAATGGGTGATATGAGGAGCCGCAAGAATTGACATGCAGAAGCCGAAAGTAGGGTAGCGCACGTCAGGATGGTGAAAATGCATTGTATTCGGTCCACTACTTGAAATGAGACTTTTTCACGGCCTTGGGAAGTGGAGCCACATGTCACGTCATTTTTCACGCGGCTTACGTTACGTTACGATGCTCTCTTTCTATTTGTTATTTAATGGGCTTTCAAAAAGGAGGAAGCTTCTCCTTTTCATTTGTTCTTTGGGAGAATCACATTGATGCCCCTGTATTTTATTGATTCTTTCTATGTGATATTTCTACTTTCTAAATATCTAATGTCTTCTTCTACTCTAATTATCTAGTAGACATAATGATAAAATTTATCTATAATTATTTGTATAAATTATTATTTTATTTTTTATTTTTTATTGAAATATTTTAATATTTTAATTTTTGGTTTAAATATCTTAGGTTTGTTTGGTAAACAACTGATATTTAATAGCTGACAGTTGATTTCAATAGTTGATTTGACCAACTGATTTAATTAGTTGACTTTAGAAAGATTTTATTAACTTTTTATATAGAAATATTTGATAAAATTTATCTTATAGTTGATAATTGATAATTGATATGGATAAAATGATAAATATGGGTATGATATATTTAGTTAATAAGTATATATATATATATATATATATATATATATATATATATATATATATATAATACTTTAGTCTTTATTCGGTAAAATTATTCGGATAAAATACTTTTGACAAGAATTAAAAATTCTTTAAGAAAACTAGTGAATATTTTTTAAACTTTTAAATTTAGTTTTTTAAATTTAATATTTACAAATATTAACATTATGAGATGGATACATACTATTAACCTTGTATAAAATATCAACACTATATTTTTTTTACTTTCATGTTTTGCTATATTTTCTTAACTAAAGGACCTTAATGGGTGAAATTATCTTCAAAACAATCTCCATGGTTTGGTTGTTTGATGTTGCAGTTTGAAGATGGAGAATACTCTGATGAGAGAACCAAGTGGATTAGGATGGAGGTTATTTCATTATATTAGATTTTACGGTAAGGATGTAATTATGGAAATAATAAGGTTAAATATGTCATTTAACATCTTATTTTGCAATTAGTTCTCCCAAACCGTTGGATTTTCCAGCGTTTTCATTTTCAGTTTATTTTGCACAATCAATTATTTCAAAAAGGTATTTACCAAACACTAAAAATAGAGGATTTGACTACCAATCAACTATTTTTGCTCAAATAAGCTAAAAAAACTCTTCCAAAAGTTGTTTACTAAACACCCTTTATATTGGAAGGAAATCATAAGTTCACTAATGATATACGTATGTTCATAATGTAATATTTTTATATGTGTCTAACTGTTAATGTGACACATAATACATTATCATTTTAAATGACGTGACATATATTACATTTTTATATTAAATTATATGACATATCTCATATTATTATATTAAATTATCACATTAATAATTAAAAATATAATAAAATATTATTTTAGTGACTTGTATTAATCATTAATCAATTGAATTTTCTTTTAGTATAAGATATTTATATGAAAATTAAAATATTAAGATCTGAAGTACTGGGAAAAGAAAGGAAGCAACGTAATCATTTCTGTAAAGATTAAGAGGTGATTTTATATATTTATGCCTGTTATTATAAATGAACTTGTAAAATGAAAACTCATAAATACAATATTGAAGGACAAAACTAAAGTACACGTGTCCATTGATATGAGAAGGGTAGATGTATACATTGAATTTAAAAAAAGGTACAGGGGGCATTCATGCTATAATCCCATTATTATTATTGTCGTTTTGTGGGTTATTGGGCTCTGGAGGAACAAGATGCCCCACCAAACATAGTTTTTTTTCCACAATTAGACCAAGGCCCACTCGAGCTTCTGCATGCGTTTTGTTTAATGGTCAATTTCATCATTGAAACCCCCATGTCATTTTCAAACGAAAAACACATTTCTATTTTATTCAAAAGTGGATTAAAGGGTCCTCATGCATAAAATATCTTTTCCATTTCGAAATTATAATCGTTAACTTCTTTTACGATATTGAAAATCTTCGCAGATAATAAATAAGGTATCAATAAGTCAACACGAATAATGTATAAAAACCTTATATTATACGGACACATCAGCCATGTTCCAAAGAATGCAGAGAACTCGAAATTCTCCAAAGACCACATTTTTATATATTATTTAACAACTAATATGGACCCACTTTAAACTTTTTAAGACTAGAAAAGTATATATTTTGACATCTTTCGAATCACTTGCCCACTTTGTTAAAAGAGGAGATGGGACAAAATCCAAGTCACCGCTATTCATGTAGATAGAGTTTAAGGTTGCCAATAACATGCAAAACAATAATTAAAAACTGTAATTGATAATAATCTGGAAACAAAAACATTCTTAATATTCTCATTTCTAAAATCCAAAAAAAAACAGAAGTAGTTTACGGTGTAGTTTGTGAAACGACGGTGATAATGTTAGTGGAAAACGTCGTTTTGATTCTGATCAAGTGATTGAATTCAATAAATATTATCCTTTTCTTTCCGATAAAATGGACCCATATAATGGATATAGGCTGTGATGAGAATCAATACGGAAGGGGAGGGTGATTAATTGATAAAGACGAAAGGCAACATGAAGGCAGGCGCCATCAATCTATTCCGGCAGATTATCATATATGAAGTGACCACCACTTTTCTTCTTGATTTTGATTGATAGGCCTTCTATTCCTATTCCATCGGAAATCATTTTGTGCTCTCCGTACACATGCACCAACAGTAAAACTTCATGAATGATGTATTTTTATATCCATTCCTATATCTATTTACACAGTAGGAAGCGATCCAACGCTGAAGTTGGTATAAATTAAGATATATTTGTTCCCTCGATGTTTTATCATCATTACTATACTTTTACCCTATGCTATATATGTATACAGAAAGGAGATGGTAGCTAAAAATAAAGAATAGGTTATAAATTCTAAGTTGAAGCTTTAAGTCCTCTCACTTCTTTAATTAATAAAAAATATACCTTTATTCAATCAAGAATTTATTAACCAGTTAAACAAACATTTGATCAAAAGCTGTCATGGCATGTCTGTCCAACTTCTATTATAATGTCAATCGAATCGATAACTAAGAATTTTGATTGCTTAATTTGCTAACTTTGAACTTCATCAAGTACCGAGGAGCTAAGATATCTGCTTCCTGCAGTCAACAAGTCAAAAACTACATTTTGAACTTGCTGGAGTAAATAATTCATCGGGATGCTAATTACATCTTAGTTTAATTAATTAAAGGAAAGTCTCCAGCTAGTTTAACATAAGAAGATCGACCATCGTAGGTCTCTCTCCTCCTCCATTAATTCTTCTGATGCATTAAGAAAACAATAAAAATAGAAGAAAACAAATCATAAAACTTGAAACTTATGGTGCTCATAGAAACATGAATCATACTCCCACTTCCTATTCGTATCTCTGAATTACAGTGTACATATTTATTTCTTTTACAAAGGGTGGCACCAGTTGAAATCATGCATGTGACAAGAATAAAAGAAAAATTAATTAGTAAGAGCATAGAGATCGGGAGCGAGGGACTCTGAATGGGGTGTACTTTTTTCCTTGCTTGCTGCAATTTCCCTCTTGAAAAACTTGAGAAGCTAAATTTGTCTACTCGCTTCTGTTATTCGGATCGAAGTCCTTGCCGTGTTGCTGAGGATGATAATAATCAGGACTCGAAGAGCCATCGTAATTGGTCGACAATCTTGTAAGGTCCGGCTGGTAGTACTGTGATGGTAATGTGGATGATGCTGACATTGAAGAGAATTGAGGAGATAAAGATTCTTGATTGAAGTTGAAGAGATTTGAGGTGTAATACGAGATATCAGCATCATTACTACTTGAAAGCAGCTGAGCATACTGAAACAAGTGAGGGTATGAATCCTTAGTCAACCATGATGAAGGTTCGACTACCACCGGTGTAGGATTTTGTTCGGAACGGACCGTGCTTGAATCACCAGGACCGGTTAAATGGCTCACCTCTCGGTTCCCTTGGACTCGTCCAGGAAAATTTAGCTTTGCCTTGGTGCCTTTGAACTTGAGAGCAGCTCTATCATAAGCAAGGGCTGCATCTTCAGCTGTGTCAAAAGTGCCAAGCCATACTCGGGCTGCTTTCTTCGGGTCACGGATTTCAGCTGCCCATTTTCCCCATGGCCTTTGCCTCACTCCTCTGTAATGTCTTTTCCTTGTGCTTTCTTCACATACAAAAAACAGGCAATGCATATGAAGAAGAAAGAATTTATATCTTTGTATTTACAAATACAAGAGTTCTGCAAGGCAGTGCTCTAATGTGTATGAAAGTAGTTTTTTGTCGCAACTTGGTCACCAAACTTTGATTCCTTTTCTTAATTCTAGAGTTGTCGAAATGTTGGACTAAAGTTAACCAAACTCAATAAACAAAAACAAACATTTGTTACATACAAATACCAACTTCAGCGATAGAATGAATATTGTTGTTCCTATAGTCCCTAGTTTAAATAGCTGCTTCGTAAAAAAATACACATTATCAATAATTAAGAAAGATTCTAAACAAATATTATTCAAAAACAAGCATTTGCACTACTTCTGATCAATGGTTTATCACCGCACCTTTTGCAAATGCATTAAAAAAAAGGAAAGCTACATGCAATCATGACTGTTTCAATGTAATTTATATCACTACTTTCCTTCTTCCAATAATCAGCTAACAAGTTTCCAAATGTTTTAGCACCACAAGAAAACAAGAATCTCGAAACCCAGATTTCATATGAGCAGTTACTTTCAAATTTAGGCACATTTTAAAGGCGAAGGAATTGTAGATATGTTCCATGGTCAAAGAAGAAACTACAAAATAGAAATGAAAGCATCCCACGTAACGGAAACTCCTAGAGCTTATCCAGGGCAAAATCAACTTGATAATGTTGTTGGAAAAAAAAAATTCATGAGATAATGCGTTCCAACAATTAATTGTTGAGATATGGTGAAATCTACAGTTCGAACGTATGTCGTCAGGCGCTCCGGGCGACTAAAGAGGTCTCCATGCCGTCCCTGCGAACTGTGGTTAGCTTTTGCATTACCTATATCGGTAATTAGGCGACCTCCATTTCAACGTGACGACCTTCACGCATGGCAATTACCTAAATTTCCCTAAGTAACAATGATTTCCTATTTAAGTAATTAGGCTTTTATCTGAAACATGACGACTTCCATTTCAACAGGACGTGCATGACGACCTTCAAGCATGCAAAGTGCAGCAGTTCACCACAGCTCGCAGGGACGACATGACGTCTTTCTTGGTCACCAGGAACGCCTGACGACATATGTTCGAACTGTAAATTTCACCCTATCTTAACAATTAATTATTGGAACACGTGAATTTTTTTTTTCAATAACATTATCTCGTTGATTTTACCATTTATCCAATAGTAAATAGATAAGAATAATATATATAGTGTAAACGCAGTACAGTACACTGATTTTTATCTTATCGGTGGAAAGAGAAAGAGGGTTGTTTACGGAAAGTAGGCTTTGGACTTAGCCGCAGGATACATTGAACTTGACTAACCCTAGCGTGGAGACCTTTTTAGTTTCCATTTTCATCACTTGACGAGCCTCTGCCTAGATCTCTCTCACTTTCACTATATATAGAGATAGATCGAGGCTGATACGAACAAAACAATTTAAAGCATCAGAAAGCCGACAGACAAAAGGAACACAAGGCCATCTTTAACACGTAATCTTTTAAACTTGTTTGGCAGCAAACCCTAATTGCGACCTAACTTAAATAGGTATAGTCGGCCATAGATGTGTATATACCTTGATCTCGAACTGCAGATTGTGGCGCTGATGAGGGTGCCGGTGATGATTGTGGGAAGCTATGCTGCTGCTGCTGTTCATCGGTTCCCATCACTCGAGTAAGAGCAGTGACCACGGCCGTCATGTCCGATAGTTCAGGCCATGGAGATGCTGCTGATTTGCTTTGCTCCTCCGATGTTTCGGATGGAAGCGGACGTTTCCCATGCCTTCGATCCACCTTTTTTTGCAAAACAGAAGCTGATAATACTATGTAAACAGTTGGAAGATGTCAGAAGAATGGTTATGAATGGAATTAAGACAGGAGAGGATCAAAGAGAGTGTGAGATTGAAGTAAGGGTGCAATATATTTGGGGTTAAGTTATATAATAGGGGAAATAGGGGGACGATATTTAGAAGAGGACATTTTCGGGTTTTGATGGATCGGATACTGGACACTTGTTTTGGACTTTCTTACTTCAACTCCAGCGCTACAAGGACAGATTCTAAAAGCGTAAATATGTATTCCGGTGTTTAAACTTAGGTTTAAGGTTCATTTTGGTCCTAATATTTTGGTCTAACTTGGTTTTAAGATATTTGAACTTAACTTTCTGTTTCAACTTGATGCACCATTTTCTTCCAAATTAGTACTTAATTATATATATTTAAACTAAAATAAAAAAAAATCAAGTACCAATTCGAATCATGAAACTAAGTTTAGGTACTTAATTGGACCAAGAAAAAATTTAAATATCAAATTGAAAACCTTAAAATTAAGTTTTACTAAAAGTATACCATTTAACCTTTCGAAAAAGGGGTAATATAATATTTGATACTTGAACTTCTCCCTATGGTTCAAATTTGAACTTTTTTTTTGTCTGAATTGAAACAATAATTTGATTATTGTCATATATTTTGGTGCTCAATTTGGTACCGATATGCGCGACATAAATTAAATTCAAGTATAAATTTGAATAAGGAAAGGCATAAATTGTCGATTTAGATAAAAAAAATTGTGCATATCAATTCAAACTTTAAAAATGATTGCATGTATTAAATTTTACATCAACCCAAAAAAATAAAGGAATAAATCAATGCGGTGTTAAGACAATATCAGACACTGAATTTACAAATCCACTTTAAAACAAAAGACAAATAAATAAAGTAAATAGTGATATAAAGGCAAGTAGGCAACCGACGGTGCACATGTTTCTCATATGCACGCGAGTCTTTGGTCTACCTAAATAAAAACATATATTAATATGTGGTTGGGATTCAATTGCTTTTCATTTACTTTATTTTACATTTTTATTTAATAATTAAGATATATGTACAAATTAGGAATGGCATGGGTCGGGTTTTTGTCCACCCGACCCGAGTCAAGATCAAAGAATCTTCTACTTGAGACCGACTAAAATAAGATTTTATCCGACCAGAATTCGATCCGATATATAACTTAAAAATCTGATCGACCCGACCCGAAATAATAAAAAATATTATTTTTATTTAATAAAAATAGTAACTTAATTGAAAAAAATAATATATAGAGGGGTGTTATTATAATTATTCTTAAATAGATAAAGTAAAATTATAAATTTTTTCAGGTCGAGTCGAGTATTTTTCACCCTAAACCCGACCCGACCACAATTTCTTTTAAAATAACTCTCAAATCGATACCTATCCCCATCCCAAGTTCAAATGATATTTACAAATGATCGATTAATTCATTTTTAGTTTAGGTGGATAATTCCTTTTTATTTTGCACGAGTTTATATATTGATTTTTAGTGACGATAGCAAAGACGTTAAGACATTTTGACATACAATTATATTATACACATGGGAACAGTGTGAGAATGTTATCATCAATTAAACGATGATGATTTCACAGTTTAATTCATAGTATTTGGGCAAAGCTAATTATGTTTTGAGCATTCAAATCCTTAGACCCTGTTTGGTTCACGAAATATTTCATTCCTGAGGAAATGTTTTTTTCCGGGTTAAAAATACCCACGTTTGGTTTCTTCACATTCCTAAGTACTAGTCAAAAATTAATACCAACATGGCTATTTTTTTCCTGTTTTCCCAGGAATGTTAGTCCTCCGTCTCCCTTAGATATTTGCTTATTCTCGTCTCCTGCTTCCTAAAATATCGTTTTCCCGGCTTGGTTCTGTTGGAAAAAAAATATTATTATTCTTCGATTTGGCGTTGATTTCTTCTTATGGCATATTAGGTATTTGCTTGGAGTCCTTATGAAGACGAGAAGAAGCTTAGAGCCCAGCAATTCTCAAGGTTGGAATTTTTATTCTTTCATTTCCTTTTTGTTTTGCAGCTGAGAAATCACAAGGAAATTTCTCTTCTCCTTTTTTTTAAATATAATTTAACCTGATTTGTTGAAACGAATTAATGCTTAATTAAATTAGTTGAGGATTATTCTTTCCACTAGCTGTAGTTTTCGCGCTTACCGTTTTACTTAACTATGCTATCTGCTACTAAACTACTTTTCACTTCTACTATTTATTTACTTTCGTTCTTGATCCCCACGAGCACTTCAAATTGAGAATATAACATAATGTATTCCACTCCCAAGTAATTTGCTCTTAGTTTAATTGCTTTTTTATTTTCTTAAAACTGATCTTCTTGGGCTTTTATATGAAGAAAATTTTTAGCTCGAAATTTTACCCCATGTTTTTTCTGGAGACTTGGACTTAGAGAAATGAAATGAAATTGTAAAATTGCTCTTACAAAATGAAACTTAGCTAGTCAGTTGTGGTTAGCTCTAGTTTGAAGTAGTTATCTTTTAAGTTTGTTAAGTTGGTTTAAGCCATCTGTTCAATCAATCTTAGCAATGTTTAATTATGATTTTTTTACAGGAAATTATCGGTTTTATCATCTATGCAGTATTTTGCCTTGAGTTCATAGCTGGGATCCGTGTTGCAATTTTGTAAAAATTATTATTATTATTATTTTTGGGGTGGGGCGGGGCGGGGTTGTGTGTGTAGGGGGTATTTGAGTGATCATGGGATCTGCTTGTTGTGTTGTCGCAAGGGACACAAGCATTCCAAACAGAACAGGACGTGGGACTTTGCATAGAAATGTGAGGTGTTCGCCATCATGGAGCTTCTGCCAAGATAATCGAAGGCATGTAGCTGGTGAAATTGATGAGCCTTCTTATCAGGTGTCGAATGGAACTAGCAGAAATGTTAGCATGGAGGTAAAAGAGACATTAGGATCTGATAGAGGTAATCTTTCTGATCAAGGAGGTCCACTTGAGATTGAGACCTACGAAACTCCCATTTCTCAAAAATCACCGGTCCATGAAGACATGGGTGGGAATATGATGACCCCTCCTTCAGGTAAAATCACTTGCCAATTGAAATAGCCTAAAGGGGTAGCTTTTTGTATCACCATCTTGATCATGCAATATGCATCCTCCGTTTAGGAAATTTTTTCTAGAAATTTTGTTTTATGTCAATTGTTCCATTTGGAAATCATGTAATTTATGTAACTTTGCCCATGAATACAAAAGGTTGCAATGGTATTCTAAGCCCATATACTGCTGGCTACCAACGAGGCTCTTGATAATGTGCAGGGCAGCATGGTCGAATAAAAATAAAACAAACATGTTTATGTATATTCAAGTTGCATTCATTATATTATTGTTTACTTCTATCATTTTTCTGCCTATACTGTTCTGAGTAATGTTGCTGCCAGTCTCTTCCCTCTATTTTGTAACTTGTTTCTGTTATGTTTGATATTGTTTTATGTTGTTGGTGCAAACATATCAAGAGCAAGCAATTATTCAGTTGATGTAAGTTTGATGTAGCTGATATTTACTTTACTTAAATAGCTTTTTATGTTTATGTGTGCTTCCTAGACTTTTGGTGATACACTAGCCTATTCTTATAATGTCTAAAATACCTTTCTGGTTACATTTCAGGGGAAGAATTTGGAAGAATTGCCTAATATCATTTATTCCTCTACACCAAATCTTTAATTTTCTGTACCTTCATCATTCTCACTACCAATATCATCTTTCTGACTAAAATGTTTGAATGCCAGAATCAAAGGTAGTGGCAAAGGTTCCTAGGATCACTATAGTTCAATGCTGCTAAGATGTTTTATGGCAAATGATGCCGCCACCCCCTCCCCCACACACACCCCAATAAAGTTGTTTTAAGAGTAAACAAATGATGTTTTAGGTTTCTGTTTACAGCTATGAGGTTATATTTCTTGTATCCTTTAACTTGAAACTAAGTCAATCTTTTGACTTGGATAATTTTTTGTGTATATAATATAGCCAACATATATGATTAAGTTTAGAATGTCATGGTTATTATGTTTTGTAAGTCTGAACATTGTACAAACTTTTTATGGCTAATGTTATACTTCTTTTTGTTATGTAGTATATACTTTGCAAGTAATGTGCTAGTTTTCGAATATGTTAATTACTTTTTATAAATTTAAATATTATAATTTTAGATAAATTATGTAAAATTTAATTAAATGTTGAAGTAGTGAAAGTTAAAAATCCCTAATATTGAACATTTAATTAAATGTTGAAGTAAAATTTTAATATATTTTTATATAAATTATGTAAAATTTATTATTAATTAAAATTAAAATAATACATGATATATTTAAATAATAAAATAATATATTATCGTTGAATTTTTATATAAATAATTTTTATTTAAATATATTATCGATGAATTTTTATATAAATAATTTTTATTTAAATATTTAGAATTTCACTTGTTAAAAAATATAGAACAAGGTCAATTTGGTAAAATATACATTTCAGTAATATTTTATTCCTTCAACCAAACACTATAATCTTACATTACTGCCAAACAAGCCAAACACAGTAATGTAACATTCTTAGTAATGTGTTAGGTAATGTTACATTCCGGTAATCTTATTCTCACCGGCAATCTTATATTCCGTGAACCAAACACACCCTAAGAATCAAAAGAACATAACCATGGAGTGGTAAGCAAATACGTAACGCCCAAGAATATGGTATAAATTTTTGCCTAAATATTGATATTGTAAATTCTGAATTTTAGGCTTAATTGGATGAAATGCAAGCTGGTCGGAGCAAATTGAATTTAGATTTGACTTTTCGAGGATTAATTTGATTAAAATTAAGATTTGGTGGCTAAATTAAAGGATTATTAGGAATTGAATGCCATATTGAATATATTAAATTTTGAAGTCCAAATTTGATCCTAAGATTCTGTAGGGGCCTGTATGGTAATTTAACCAATTCTATAAAACATAAAACCCAATCATACCCAGTCTCATCCTTTACAAAATCAACCTAACTTGATTCGAATCTATCAAAACTCATCAGGTTCAAATAAAATGATCATACCTATCAATTTTTTGTTACTATCTTTTGTAGTGTAAGTTTTTAAAAGACATATTTTCATTGATATTATTTTTGTATTTCATTTTTTTCTAAAGAATGAAACAACTTAATCATTTTATTAAAGTATCAATTTACAAAGGAATAATTTTACTTTATATATTTAAGAATAATTACAAAAATATATCTATATATTATTTTTTTAAAATTAAATCACTGTTTTTATTGAATAAAAATAATATTTTTATTATTTTGGGTCAGGTCGGATCAAGTTCGGATTTTATCTAAAAAATATTGGATCGGGTGGAGAGTTTATATTTTTGGGTTGGGTCAGTTCGGGTGAAGGATGTAAAATTATCGGGTCGGGTCGGGTTGGCCGAAAGCCGACCCATGCCCATCCCTACACGTTGGGTTATCATCTTCGGGAAGCTCGTAGGATTTTGGATGCTAAATTAAATTACAAAGTGTATTTTGCTCCTAGAGTTTGTAATAATGTGACACATGCTTTGACTAAGTGGGTTTTCTATTATAGAAATACCTTATATTTTGACTCAATTTATTTCGAGATTATTACGTATGTTGTATCGAATGATTATTCTTCTGATAATATAAGGTCTTAAGACTCTCTTTTCTCCTTATAGATTTGAGAAAATATTTTTAATGATGACCATGTTCTTTAAAAAAAATTAAAAGTTAAAAAATCTTTATTTTCAAGTTTTTTTTTACAGAATATTTTGCCTTAAAAAACTGAATTGTTTTCTAATTTCACAACTTTTAAAAAATCCCTTTTCTCCACAATCCCAAAGCCCAAAGGCCAAGCCCAAATAAAGTTGAAGAAGTGAAAACTGAAATAACCGGTAAGCTTGCTGTTTTACCTAACGGATTTACGGTTGCGGATCGTTTTTTTATGTTTAAATAAATAAATGAAAGAAGATAGTCCCCAAGAAGGGGATTCCTTTGCTTTCGATCTGAGATTTTGCGAAGACAAAACAAATCCTAATTCTTCAATTTCTGGTAAACTCAGCTTTCTTTACAGTCTCTTACTTGTTCTTGTTCTTCTATTCGTTTAATGATTGAAATGGATTCCTTTTTGATACGATTTATACTTCAGAATAGTGGTTCGTATTGAATTTATTTAGCAAAAGCTTGCTGCTAATGGTATGGAAAGTGGAAAAATAAGAATCATGCTGATATAGATTCTGTAAAATTTCACGGTACTATAAATAACTTTGATTCATCATGCATGGATGTCTAGATTGTACAGTTGATCGCCGCTACATTTGTCATTTTTCATTTCTGTGTTTCATAATTACTAGTTATAAACTATGGGGTGCTTATAATTTACACTGGTGACTGGTGAGAACTCTGCAAACAAGTTCATGAAACGAGTTTATATGTACTTTTCTGACTTTCATTGTAAAATCGTAAAATTTTAATATAAGAAACGCATGAGGCCTGGGATCTTCTATTTTGATTGGTTTGGTTCATGATATGATATGAAGATGGATAGTATTTTAATGTGGTGAAGTTTCCACTAAGTGGAGGCCATAACCCCTAGTCTGGCTGGGAAATTTCTTCGTTTTTCTGAAGCATGTTTTTCACATTTCTCTGAGGAAATGCAGATATCAAATTCACTCTAGGAGGCAGAGGTTATTGATAAACCTGAAAGTACTTGAATTTGTGTGAAGGAAAGATGGAAAATCAAGATGGAGTGGCAGCTGATGGGGAAAAGGAGTCTGCTGTATCCATTCCCATTTCTGAAGTTGATGACTGGGGGAATTTCACAGATGATGATATCATGCAGCAACAATCTGCCATTCATGCTGAGGAAGCCAAGAAAGTTCCATTTGTTGGTGACAAGGTGAGAAAAGCACATGGTTCTTTGAGATTTCCAAACATTGTTGCATAACTGCTGGTTAGTATTTTGAGTCTCTTTTCTTGCCTTTTATTAACATTCAGTTTGCCGCTGTGCGTACTTAAAAAACTGTCTGACCATTTTCGGTTATTGAATTTACCAGTTCAAATATGTAGTATCTTTGTGCAATATGAATGTTTTTTCATCCTGTTTTCTTTGTGCTATCACTTTATCCCCAAGGCCATTTCTTGGTTGTTGTTTCCTTGTCGAGAATTGATTATGCGTCCATGCCAATGAATAATGTGCGATATTTCTACATATATTCATGTTGAGACATTACCCTTTTTAGGAGCTTAAATAACTAGAATGCAAGTCTTGGTATTATGCTGTTGCTTAGTTGTCACCTGTGCCGAAATGATTTTTTTCCTTTCATTTACTTAGCGTGATATTTGGAAATCATTGGGCCTTTTTTGTCTGATTGATTCCCATTTTAGCTTTGCATGAATATTATGGTGCAAGGACAACTTCCATTCTTTTTGCTAAACTTACTGGTTCCATGTGATGCCAAGAAATTTTTGTTATATGGAACTGCAGGAATCACTTTCTATGTTGGCAGCTGAATATGAATCAGGAAGCCCTATCTTGCTAGAAAAAATAAAGGTATTTTTCTTTCATGTTTTTGTCCATTTTAATCCTTGATGCGACAATTGTTTGCTTATTTATTTATTTATTTATCTTTTCTAAAGAAGAGGCATTGATGGTTATGCTGAATGCAGGTACTTGAGCAACAATATGCTGCCATTAGAAGAACACGAGGAGATGGAAACTGCTTTTTCCGGAGTTTTATGTTTTCATACCTTGTATGTCAGAGTACCTATTATAGATGTCTTTTATTTATATTCCTCTAATTTTTCCCCAATCTTCTTGTTGGAGAGGCATCGTTTTCTCTAGGAATTGTAAGCTATAAAATTTTTAATACTTTGTAGGAGCATATTTTGGAATCACAAGACCGTGTTGAGGTTGATCGTATTAAAGGAAATGTTCAAGAATGTAGAAAAACACTTCAAGGTTTAGGTTATACAGATTTTACATTTGAGGATTTTTTTGCGGTAAGCTATTAAAATTTTCCTTCCTTTTTCCCCTTTTTTAGCTTAAATAGTGTATTTTATTCCATTTTTATATGATTGACAATTAGCTGTCTTGGTTTTTGTGCAGTTTGCCTCATTTTAACAAATGTTTAGCTGTATAATCGACATCTTTAAACACCTTCTCATGCAATGTTTTTCTGGAAAATCACTTTTACAGTCAACTTGTAATTCTGCACCTCCCCGAATTGTTAGTATTACATTTCCCCCATAGAAACCTGCTCTTGAAAGGGGTGGGTAGGTGTCAAAAAAGAGAAATATAAGTTCTTTGAGAAATTCCTTATAAAACCCAGCTCTCAAAGAATTGCCACTTCTTTGTTCCTCCTAATTTTGTTGCTTCAGTTCTTTAGTCCTAAACAATGTTCGGGACAAATTAAATCAGGAAATATTTAGCCATAATGGTGTTTCAATCCCTTTTACTTTTTTTTTAATTTTCAATCCCTTTTACTATTGCCAAACATAGGGGTCTTCTTTACCATTCCAAAAATGAATTATAAACTCAAGACATTATGGGGGTTATTTTACCCTGTTATTAGATGTTTTACTTGCTCATACACTTTGATATTTTCTCCAGGATAAAGCCCTTAGCATTTTCATATGTTGTATTTTGTGGCTTAGTCTCCTTTACCTGAAGGCTTAGTTTTCCTGTGTTGATTTTTGGTGCGAGGTCTTCTTTTCCTATTTGATGAATACTTTTTGAGAGAAATGATGTCTTCATATATTGTTTATAAGGCTGACAGTTTTCTTCATGAAGCACCTTGCTTATGGTTTCCCATTTCTAGCACCATTGTTTTATTTGTGATTCAATGTGAAAAATTTTCAGTTATTCCTTGAGCAACTGGACTGTGTTCTTCAAGGCAATGAAGATTCTATAAGGTGTGTACAACTTTTTATTTTGCCTTGATATTTTCCTTGTTTAAGTATTTCTTTTTCCTTTTTAGTGCCACTTGTACTGATAACCATGACCAACTGATAATCATGTGTCTGGAATCCAAAATTTTTAGTTACCTACATCTGTTGAAATTTAATTGAGTCCTGAGCTCCTTAACGAGGTTTTCCCCCTTTTTCAGTCAGGACGATTTAATACTAAGGAGTCGAGATCAGTCAATCTCCGACTATGGTGAGTGAGGTATTTTTGAGGGATTAATGAGTCTTTCTCCTTGGTACATCTCATGACAAGTTTGGTTGGTTAGCTGTAATGTTTTTCAGATTTGTTACCTCTGGTGAAATACGAAAGCGTGCAGAGTTCTTCCAACCCTTTATTTTGGGATTAACAAATGCAACAGTAGAACAGGTTTGTTCAATATAATAATTTTTTTCGTATGCATACAAAGCTCAACATCCCTTCATGCATTATTAGAGAATTTGAGGTTTTGAATGACACTTTATTTATACACTACAGAAGCTATCTTCTTTGCAAGTCATACAACTGTTTCTTACGTCTTCTTGACAGTTCTCCGAGTCATGTATTACACTGATATTTATGATATTGAACAGTTCACATCAGTTGTTTTTCTTCAATACGTATGCATTCTGGTAAGTTGGTGACTTTAAATTTCTCTCATAATATAATCTGTTTTGTAGTTTTGCAAATCATCCGTAGAGCCAATGGGTGAAGAGAGTGATCATGTACACATTACTGCCCTTTCAGATGCTTTGGGTGTGCCAATTCGTGTTGTGTACCTCGATCGGAGCTCATGTGATGTCAGTGGTGTAAATTTAAACCATCATGATTTCCTTCCTCCTTCGGGTGACAATTCAAATGCTGCAAGCGGTCGCACTGTTCCTGTCAAGCCTTTTATTACCTTGCTATATCGTCCCGGCCACTATGACATTCTCTATCCAAAATGATGCGATTGCGTTTTCTGGTAAGTGGTTCTTCATGTTTTTTCCGGGTATCAAGTGTTTCAATGGAACCTAGGACTACATACAAACCCCGACCTTTTTAGTGACAAGGTTGGTTGGCTCGAAAACATAATAATTCATACGGTATTTTGGGGGTGGCACTGCCCTTAACTTTGGAACCACTAACACCCTTGATGGCAGCTTGATGCTGCTAACCGTGGACGCCGATATTCTTCCACGACCCTGATGAGCGTCTATTATACGGCTAAAGGGGATTTGTGTGTTTTGCAGGTTGTTGATAATGTCCTAATCAGCGCCTCAGCGGTCTTTGGGGGGAAATTTACCTTGCAGGCTGACATGCGACTGTTAAAACCATACACTCAATATTAGGCTGTTACTCATGCTGCTAAACTGTTTGTGCTTCTTAACTTTGTGATATGAACAAAAAGGTTTTCTCAAGACTTGGATTTCTTATCCTCCTTGTGGAGAATAGCTCACCCAGAATCTAAATTGTTCGGTCTGCAAATACATAAAATTGATGTTTTCCCCTTTAAAAATCCATTGTTACTGGGCTTGGGTTGAAGCGTTCCATTGGTTTGGTTCTAATCTGTATTAATACAGTTAATAATCATTAGCTGATAGACATAATATTAAAACATTATATGAAAAAAATATCAAATATAATGAAAATCGATTAGAACTTATATGGTGGAAGAAAATAAAACATTTAAATAATACTAAAATTTAATTTTTTGGTGAGGCTTTTTCATATGTTACTTGAAAATGATTTGTCAACACATCTAATATTACAAATGGTGTCTAAGTAGGTTTGTGTAAATGTCTACAATTACCAAATGTTCATTACACAAATTAATCCAATATTCATTAAACAAATTCAAACATAATATTTTTTCGATGAACATTTGTATTTCATTCCAACTCAAAGTAAAACAATAGTCACCTATACCCAACTATACAATTCCAGATAATCTTGTGCCAACTCTACAATTCCGGATAATCTTGTAAACGTTCTTGAATGCTCTTTTCAAGATATCCAACATCCGAATGTGAACTACTAATAATCTTGTCATAGTTACAGTGGCGAACCAGCGTCCCCGGGGTCAAATACCTCTTGATTCCATTCATAATTTTCCTTGTCAAATGTTTTCATTCGAACAACATATCGATAAAATGTCATCCACTAATAATAATCGAAACTCGGATATGTCATCACATTCAACCAGAACACCAGAAATTAGTTGAAACTTGTTTTCCACCCTTCCATGGACCAATAATAACATGGTATATTACAAGCCGAATAATAAACTGAGTGATTTCTTCAGGAATTGGTCGCAAGACATAGGTAAATACAACTAAAACATCAAAAGTGGAACTATCACCCTCAACTAATCCCTTGGACAATGATATTGAATGAAATTTCAAAACAGGAGGCATGTGTTTTGGGGTGTCAACTTCAACATGGAGAGCAACAACAAATTTTTTAACAACTTCAAGCAAAATTTTTGAGTCTACATTCTGCAGTTCACCAGAAGCTCCAAAGCAGTATAACAATATTCCTCTGCTTGAAAAGAATCTTTGATCTCAAGGATCGACATAAGGAAAGTGTCTATTTTGAAAACAAGGAGAGGGAAACAAGAACAAAACAAGAAAAATGAGCAATGAATATTGCATTGCTGTAAATATTACGAAAATGGGTTTAGAATGGAGAGTTTTTACCAGCGATCTTGTCACCAACAGCCTCATATGCGGATCCGTCTACAGAATAAGAGAAGCCAACTCCAATCGGGGACTCCAAATACAACATATTGGCCTCTGCAAAACAATGAGATGAAAATGAAAATTCAGAACTGATTAACAAACAAGAACACACAACAATAGATAGACAAAGTATACCTCTATTCCAGCTATATTCGTTCTTGACCAGCACTTCACCACTAGGCCTAAACGGTCCATTCTCAGAAAAGGCTCCAACCCCAATTGAAGAGCATCCAGGCCCCCGTTGAGCCAAAGGACGAGAGGCTTTGAAGCTGGATCTACTTCAGCTTCTGCGAAGTAGTAAAACAAAGCTCTCTGTTTCTTCTCATCGACGGTCACATAGCCCGAGTACTGTTGGAACCCGACTTTGGGTTGACCCGGCAATCCAGATATTCGATCAAACAGACCTGGAAAACACTCGGATTATACGGAAAACAAAGCTTCAAGTAGAAATAAGCACAATGCCACTGATCTCCAGCCTAAACAACCCATGGTATCTTCTTCTTCTTCTTCTTCTTTTTCCTCAGATGAGACTAAAAAGGAAACCCCGGAGTGAGAAAGTGGAAAGAAGAAGGAGAAAACCGAGTTAAACAACAATGTTTGCGGAGTGGGGTTGGATTTTATAAAGAGAGACGCTGTTCTTTTGTTACTATTCTATTACTTTTCTTTATATAATAATGATAAACATAAAAAGGAGTGTATTTTAGTGTAGGAACTGAAACAGATGCTTGTTGGGTACATTTTTTGTTCACTTTCTCCTGAACTTGGAGATGGCTTGTGGGAGTTAAGGGACGGTGAACAGAAACTACTTCTTCTACTGCTCTACTAGTTATACCGTATTGAAACTACGAAACTGAAGGTAAAAGCCTGAGAAAAGAAATTCAGAAAGTCAAAGAATTCGTTGTTGTTTTGTATGTTGCTATCAGCTTTGGTTTAGTAGTAAGATAGAACATGCATATTGTGTTGTGTTAAGGGGAAAGCTGCTCTCTTTCACACCAAATGCTTAATGCTTTCCCATTGTTTACTTTTTGGGTCTTCTTACATTTGTTTTCCGTTTTGCTTTACAAATATCAGAGCAAAGTGAATGCGTCATAGTGACATAACAGAGGCAGAAAACAATGAAGAAAATAATGTTTGCTGATTTTTTTTTTTAATTATCGATGTGATTATAAGACAATACATGTTAAAAAAATTAGTTATTGATGCATGCATATATACATTACAGATGCAATTATTCAAATCTAAAATTTTAAGGAAGAACAATACTTCCTTTTAACTACTGAACAATGAAAAAAGTATACTATAAGTGACGATAATAGTGAGTGACGAGTGATTGCCGGAGATTTTGGTCAAATTTAGGGATTGATTTGATATTATATGTAAAATATATTGTCAAAATGATATTTTATCTAAATTTCAAAAATTAAATTAGTATTTTATCTAAAATTTATGGGTCAAATTAAAAATTAAATTCTTTCACTAATGTTTCACATCAACAATCTAATGAGAATTAACTATTCAATCACCAAAATATAACAAGCAATAATTTAAGAGATAAAAATTTAATAAATCAATAACATAAGTGATCAAAATATAATTTTTTCAAAATTGATGACTAAAAGTGAACATTTTAATAGTTAACCCTTGGGTTATAATAAATTTACATATCTTTTAAGAAAACTAGAAATTATTAGGATGGACACGTGGCGGGACGGGGCGATTTTTTTGCCGCCTCAACTCTAACCCAAAAATATTTTTCTTATACTCGATCTCGTCCCATCCCAATAATTGTTAGGTTTTTTTCCGCTTGAACACGCCTCGACTTTTATACTAAAACCCCAATTCTGACGCATCCTGACTCGAGATATTTCAAAATAATTAAAATAATATATTTTATAGTAATATATTCATAATTATGATTTAATTAGAAAATAAGTGTTTAAATTATACATTTTTTCATATTGGTGCCCAATTTTTTTTTTGTGATTCATAAATATGTCTAACGTTACAAACGTTATCAATTTAGGTGTATGGTCCGTGATAATCGTTAAGAAAAATCGTTAAGTGACTTGTATCAAATTATGATAATTTTAAATTTTGTATTTAAAAAACTTTAAAATATTATTATTATATTTTTAAAAACCTTAAACTTTTTTATTTTATACATAATACCCCTCAATTCATAAAATCTCTTATTCTAATCACCTCTAACTGGTCATCGGTCATTTCTGATCGCCCATCCGCCGTCGAATGATCATCTATTCGTTGCCGAGCACCCAATGATCAACGATTACCATTGCTATCATCTCAAACTTCAAAATTCCCAAATTCCAAAACTTAAATCCTTAATCCCTAAAATCTTAAATATTTGATCCCTATATCTTAATATCCCTTAATATAAAAATAAACCTTACTAGCCCTTAATTTGGAAACTTAATAACCCTTAATAGCCCTAATCCCAATTCACCACTGGAAATTTTAATGGGAACGAAGGGTGTTCAGGGTGCCATGTCAAAATGCTATATTACATAATTATATTACATCTTGTTAAACAAACCAAACAATGTAATATAATATTTTTATAATAATATTATATTTCAAAAATCATATTTTCAAAACCCCCAATAAAAATGAAAAGCAATTGAGTAACTTATTAATATTCCAGTCCAAAGAAAAACCAACAAACCTACCTAATCATTTGTATTTCATTTCATGAACTTTCCAAGGAATATCCACTTTAATCTTGATACTTGAGACTGAGTCTTCCTGGTAACTCTATGGTTTCCATTCATGGTCTTGTTTTCATCCTTCATGTTCATCTTGGAACAAAGATCTCTAATGGTTTCTCTCTTCGCGTCATTTCTCCTTATCAACTCAGCTTGGTGACTCAGATTATCCTCTACAAGTTCTGACACCTTGAACCTTAGTTCATTCCACACTTTCTCATGCTCTAACATGGCATCTTTATAACCATCACTCGTATTGCGCTGGAATCCAATGCCATTGATCACATTCATCTTCTCCCCGCAGCTTTCGCAGTCCGGTGTCATCTTCAAGTTCTCGATAGAGTCCCGATTAGCAGCTTGCGCATTCAAGACATCATAGACGACCAATTCATCCTCGAGATCATGATCTTGCACCGATCCGTTACCTCGAACTCGACTGACAGGACTCAATGAGTTGAGTTGGGATCTCAGCTGGTCATATTTATCAGCCAAGCAGCGGCAGGTTTTGCGCAAGTCCTCGATCATTTCGATGAGCTGAGGTCTCTGCTGATAGTACATTTCAGCTCTCTTGGCGAATGAATCCCCGTCGTCTTGCACGATAACGCTGAGAATCGCATTTACCTTCACATCCAAGTCTGAACAATTCATAAACACTTTACAAACCATATGTTACAAAGTCTGAACATGCAGCAATATAATTATAAACATAAATAACATTACCATTGGAGGCTGCAGTGACATTAATGCATTCCATTTGAATCTATTATATCGCCAATCTCAACTGAATAATGTATATTTCTTGTAAGTAGCACATGAGCTGAGATAAGCCACAGATAAAAGCAGAAGAAACTGTAGGGGAAAGGGGCAAAGAACCCTACAGAATTGAAGACAAATTGATTTCAAATGCGTAGGACTAAAGTTAACAAATTTATTTTGCTTTCTTGTGTGAGCCAAGGAATATTATTGAGCTTGTGTCTTGTTGAAGCAAATGCAACACTTAACCTACACATATTGCTGAAAGGAAACGAGTTGCCTAGACTTGTAAACATGCATGGGCCCTAGACTATTAATATTGGTAATGAGACAAATAACTATTTTAATTCAATATAAAATAAGGTACGATGATTTTTTAAAAATATAAAGTTGAATTAAAATAAAGATTTTATGCGTATATTTAAATAAAATTAAGGGTAAATTACGGGTTTAGCAGCTAAACTATTAGTTTTCATTTGTTTTAGTATCTAAACTTTCAATTTTTTCAAAACCATACCTAAAGTTTAATTTTGTTTCATTTTAGTACCCCTGCCGTTAAAAACTTTAGTTTTTGTTACATTTTAGTATCTCGTTCAAAATTTAACGTTAAGTTTAAAAAAAAATGAAAGTTTAGGTATTAAAACGGATCAAAACTGATAGTTTAGGTACTAAACGTGTTAAGTTTTTAAAGGCGTGTACTAAAATGAAATGAAAACTAAATGTTAGGTATTATTTTGAAAATATTGAAAGTTTAGATATTAAAATAGATCAAAACTGATAATTTAAGTACTAAATACATAGTTGACTGTGCATAATTGTATAGTATCAAAATTTATGTTTAACATTACATATTGAACCAAATTTTATAGGGTTAAGATACACTTACACAACGTAAATATTTTTTATTATTTATTTTACATATTTTAGACTATTGAATGCCCGAGTGAATATATTCTCATTTTTCATTGTTAATCTCAGTTGTTTATTTCTACTCATCCAACGATTTTAAATATGTGCAAAACTAGAAAATTTTATATTCTATAATTGTGTGTTGACTTGACTTTTTATTAATTTTTGAGCCATGTATAAGAAATAAAAAAATAAAAAAAAATACAAAATAAATCACATAAAAGATTAAAATAAATGTAGATTATAAAGAATTTAAATATATATATATATATATATATTAATATTATCTTAAAATCTAATATATTTTACAAGTATAATGTTTTACTTCTCACAACCTCCATATTAAAAGAATGTTTTTATCTTAAAATCTAAGTTGAAAGATCCATATTAAAAGGGTTCCATTTCCCCATATGCTGTATATCTTCTAAAGCCCTACAAGAGTTTATGTATGGGGAAATGGATTAATTATTTAAATTAATCAATGAAGTTTGTACAAGTTTACACATAATGATAATAATTTAAAATATGAAAGCAAGCAGAGCTCAGAAAAAAAATACAATTTGCTTACCTTATTTGCCCTCACCATGTCATGGCACGTCCCTAGCTATTTTCTCCATCAATTAGAGATTTAAAAAAAAAAAAAAAAGTTAAGAGAAGGGTTTCCACAACTTAAATAAGAATGAAAAATAACATCAACTTAGGAGACTAAATCATGGGAAAATTTAAAGGTGAAAGATTCAATTAGGGTTCCTGCCATAGTGCAAAACCATGAGATGATCAGCTGTTGATGTATGTGGAAGCAAAGTCACTGCCTCCCTTGAACCCCATATTTCATCTCTTACTTGCTGCAACGTCAAGCAAGGTTGAAGCTGTTTCCCTCTGCATGTTATCTCTACCTGCGGTACCAACTGTGAGTAATGCGAATGTTTTTTTATAAAATTATACGTATATGGTAATACGTTTAAAATATTTTTTTGAATCTTTGAATTTTATACATGTGATTATTATGAAATCAAAATATTTATCTGTAATAATCCGTTTGTTTTACAGTAAATATATTTTACATGAACATGTTGGGGGGGGGATATGCAATTTTATTCTTTCTTGGATGATTTTTATCTATTTTTTAGTATTTTATTATTGTTGTTTGGTTTAGTGATATACATGTAGTGGTGAAGTCATGCTTTGTCGGTGGCATACGTCTTTGTCTATGCTATGTGCTATGCCCCATCTCTTTGAAACTTATACTTTACCCATCAAAAATTTCTCTCTCAAGCTTTTCATACTCATCACTCTAAAGCTCCACAAAAATTGAAGGAAAAAAAAAACATAAACTACAACTTAGGTCAGCGGTCAGGCATGGAAGTCGGCCGTCTAAACTCCAAACCCTGCTCCTTATTTCCACTATCTTAGCTGCCCAAAATAATCATTTGGGCACCCACCTAGACTTTATTCCCAAGGTAAAATCATTTATACCGTAGATTTTCATTAAAACAAATCACTAAAATAATTAATTTAATTTGTCAAATATCAAAGAATGTTAACATGAAATCCGTTTAATTAATGTTTTAATTTTAGAAAACGAGAATGTTAAACAAAAACCCTAATATTTCATGCTGCGTGCATTGTCATTGAGTTCACCAACGATAAACAAATCATTTTCATGGGGAGGCTCTTCATTTGTCTTTTCATGCTTTTGTTTATTATTATTTTGTTATTTTTCAACAACTGGGAATGATTCTGCTGTGGAATTATCCCTCATGTATTGCTTTCCCCATAAGTAAAATACGTGGGGCTATGTTTTTCTTTCTTTCTATTTTAATGTATTTTGGTTGTTGGTCGTGGTGTGATGATGGGCTTTTTAAAAATTCATGCTCAGTGTTGAGTGATGGATTTAAAAATTAAAAAAATATGAATCTAAAATTTTAATATTTTATTTAAAAAAATTAATTATATATTTTTTATTAAGTTTATTAATAAAATAAATTAAATTTAACATTTTTTTTCAAAATAATAGATGTACATGGAGCACCCTACATCCGCCCTGCAAGTGGCAAGTGGTGCCCTTACGATTTTTTATATATTTTTAATAAAAAATATATAAATTTTTTTAAATTATTATAATAATTTTAAAATTTTCAGATGACAACTATTTCACCCGTTCTTCTTAATCTATTACTGAATAATAGGGCCCACGTTTTGTTCCATAGCCCTACGATGTAATTACACCTCCATCCTCGTCCAATCAAGATTATACCTAGACGACAATAACACTTGATTTTATACCATATACTATATTTATGACAGAAGAGATGGCATATCATCTGGCGGTTGTGAATAATTTTTCCATGTCAAAGGCATGGCATCTGTTGGCAGAAACAACTATACATGGGAAGTTATTATTATTATTACAATTATATTACATACTAATTAGAATAAAGTATTTATATATGGATCGATTCCATGGCATTAGCTATTAGAGTTGAGCAAAAGATATATATATATATATAAGACTAGAATATATAATTGATACTGGTACAGCAAAACAGAAGGTCCAAGCTATCATTGTTTAGATATTTTTATATACTTTGGGGGTGACGCAAAGGACAAAAGAATGAAGGCCAAATTAATGTTAACTAACATCTAATGATTTAAAATCATGTTGTCTCAAGAACTTCGTCTCGTTTCGATTTTTAGATGAAATGATGAGAAGAACTGTCTAGCACTGATCAGTTGTGGGCATATATTTTGTGAACATGGCTTGGCGTACCCGAAAGACAACAACAAAACGAAGCATAATGTTTCTTAAGGTAAGGCAAAGAGAATGAATTATATTTACCTGAAAGACATCTACTTTTGTTGATTGACCTTGGAAAATAGACAGCGGTGGAGCTACGTTTGATTTTTTGGTTTAATTACTTTTTAGATCTATACAGTTTTGAAACTAGTGAAAATACATCTTTTAACTTTTGATTTAATTATATTTTATATCCATGATAGTTTTAAAATTAGATAAACTTACCCCTATTCCTATTTATTTTTTGTTAAATATTTCTTAAATTGTTTTTGATTTTGAAGTTGAACAATTTGATCCATGTAATGTAACTGTAGGTGATACCTAATTATATAGTATATGTTTTGGTATTAAAAGACTAGAGCACGTAGTTTTAACCTAGCTACATAATCAAGGATTCAATATATAAACTCATGATCTCCCTCTTTGTATTTGTCCTAGGTGGTTTTCCCATTTTCATGTCTAAAATAAAACATTGATTTAAAATAATTGAGTTAAGTTTAGTATTTATCGTTGTTGGTATATTGTACATGAGAATATAAGATGATCTAAGATATTTAAACACTTCTTATCTTCTGATTTAAGGGTAATAAGAGATCTAGATAATATAGACGAATCATCGTAAAATTATGGTATACTTTTACTTGTTTCTATACTAGCAGGGTTTGATTTCTAATAAGTGAAAATTGGAATTAATAGTTGAGATACTATACCGATGGATCATACGGTTATTTTCAATAAGCTAATGGTGTGAAATAGCAAACCCAATAATTCATGCCTTTAAGGCCAAAAACCCTATACCTTTAATCCCGTCACTAAGAGAAGAAGCTCTTAACCATTTTAAAAGACTGATTACCTTAATGTTTAAAACATTTTAGGCAATCTTTTGAGCCAAAAACTACGGGTTAAAGGGCTAATGATATTCCATTTGAAAAAGGGTCCCCTAGAAATAATATACTTCCCACCTTAATGTAGGAAAAGAAAAAAAATAGCATGCATTTAGTTCTGCTGTTTCTGTCATGTCTTTAGCACCAACCAAGTCCTATAATGTCGTGTAAGAAATTTTCTTGTTGAAGATATGGATTGATTTTTGGTAATCTAAAGCAAAAGAGATCTGGTCGTAAAATGAAAAATTAAACTAAGGGAGTTGCATTTAAGATTTGAAGTGTTTTTGTTTTAAATACCTCTGATTCGCTTTGTAGTGGCAGCTTGTTAACCAGATACTTCATTAATAACTGCACTGTCATCTTCCCGTCCCTGAAGATTCGAACAAAAATGAAGGAAAAAAAGAAAACACACGAAATTAGTACGTAAAAAGGGGTAAATTTGCAGTAAAACAAAGGGATAAGCATTGCTACTTGGTTCTCAGGTAGCTCTTTGGAATTTGAGGCAGGAACGGTTCGTTTGCTCTGAACAAAAAGAAAGTGAATTTCATCAGAAATTTTCAAACAAAAAGAAAAAACTGCGGAGGATCATTTTTTTGAGTAACTTACTGGTTTTGCGATGCTTGAAGCACAAACCAAATGCCATAATGGGGTCTTCTAGGAGGATCAATGATTGTAACATCCGAGCACGGTCCTGCAACTTGCATTTCGAATTGCACCTGAAATGGTCTGGAAAAATAGGACCCGAATGGCATCAAAAAAGAAGAAGAAGATGAGGGTATCGGCCTAAACATGGAGCTGCTCCCTTGTTGTTGGTGTTGATAGAATAAAGATGTACTAAAACTATGCATGAGCGGTGGTGGTGCTCGAAACTCGGGCATATGAAAGATTCGGGCTAATGGCCTCGCTTGTTGCGAGCTACCACCGGGTAATAGATCCAGCTCAAGCAACCCTCCTGTTCCGGCCGTTGGATCGTCTTGGCCGTGCTTGTTGCGATCATATCTTGTTGCCTGAGTTTGACCCCCTATACTGAGTTGGAGCCAATCTTCATCTCTCTCTAATTCTATTTCTTGATGGCTATTATCCTTGGAGTTGGAGCCCGCCTCATTAACGCTATTAGTTCTCGACTCATCTTCATCCATGCGGTCAGCTTCTAAATCAGATCCTATTCCTAAGCAAGCTTCGGTGTGAAAATCATACCCACCACGAAGACGGCTCATATGGCCAAAACTCTCCGTGTATATACTTCCTCCGCCACAAAAACCATAAAATTCACCCCCGCCGCCGTGAGGAAGGTTTTCAGCAGGAACCATGGTCATATCCGGCAACCCAGAAACACGAACACCCGGCTTCGAGTATAACAAGGAGAAAGAAGAATAAGCTGCTGCTGCTGATGATGATATTGATTTTGATAACGAATTCCCGGATTAGTCTTGCACTCAACATCAGCCATGGATGAACAAGATCTTTCCGGTCGAAGAATAAACTGTTATTGCTATAACCATATTTTGGAGTTAAGAAATCAAGAAAGCCAGAGACACACATTAACCAGGGTCTTGTGTTTTATTGTAGACATGGAAGAGGAGAATAATAAACGTTGTGAATCTCAGTTTCCATTAATTCTCTTCGTTTGGAAGGTTGTGGAAATGAAATAGTTGCAGAAAGGGAGAGAAGAATAGAGGATGGTGGTCGGTCAGTCAGTCAGATTAAAAAATTAATTCTTAGGGAGGTCCAACTATAATTGATTTTTTGGCTTTATTAAGACGAATTTCATACCTTTTTTTTCTAATGGGAAAATAATATAGGGGTCCCCCAAGGAAACAGCTTTAAGCATTAAGGCGATATTTGGACAGTAAATTAGCTAAAAAAGGCTCCTTCTTTCAAGAACATCACAGAAAGGTCCTTTTTAGGCTTTAATGGAATTAGGGGTGGGTAAAACCCGATTCAATTAAAAAACTTGAATCGAATCGAATTAAATTTTCAACTAAAAAATTTTCAATTTAAGGTCAAGTGATAAAATATGACTAGTGTAGATAACTTGTGCTGCCTCAATCCATTATCGACAAAATTGAGTAAGTGTGTTCTAGATATTTTTGGAAAGGGTCGGATATTCCAGCTACTGGTGCTCGGGTTAGTTGGGACACGATCTGCACTCCAAAGTCTGAAGGAGGTTTAGGCCATAAAGATATTAAAACCTGGAATAGAGTGTGCTTGATCCTCCTTATCAAGAAAATCCTTGCCGGGGATGGTTCTCTATGGGTCGCATGGATTCAGTGTTATATTATAAAGAATTCTAACTTTTGGTTCATGGATGAACGTTCTTCTTGCAGCTGGAGTCTCAAGGAAATTTTGAAGGTTCGAAGTGTTGCTTATCCTCTTATAATTTCAGGAGTTACTAGTTCTAAAAATATTTGGGAGCAGGTTCGTATGAAAGGAAGCAGAGTTCATTGGCAGAAAATCACATGGTTTCCCCTTCACATACCAAAGCACAGCCTCATCTCGTGGATGGCTATTCTGGATCGTCTCCCCACCAAAGAAAGGCTGCTCAAGTTCGGCTTAATCACTAATGACCTGTGCATCTTTTGCTCTGAAGGTAGTGAAACTATAAACCATCTTTTTACTGAATGCAAAGTTTATTCTTCAATCTGGAAATCCATTCTTCTGCTGTCAGGCATCAGAAAACCTCCATTCGCTTGGCCCAGTCTTATGGTTTGGGCGACGGCGAAATGGAAGGGAAAATCTTTAATTACTGTCATTCTTAAACTGTCGTGGTGTGCATCCATTTACACCATTTGAGAAGAAAGGAATCGTAGGATTTTCAGAGGCATTAGCAGATCAGAGGATGATATAGTTCAATCTATTAAGCAGACTATAGGTCTATATCTAAGAAATAGAACTATCAATAGATTAGATAACACTAATTTATTTCTTTATAATCAATGGGGTATAGCTTTATTTTTGTTGTATAGGTTCCCCTTATTTTGTTCCTTTCATTGGATTGTCTTTGTAGCAAGTTTATGCTTTCTTGGATAATAAAACTTACTTATCCAAAAAAAAAATATGACTCATCAACACAAATATTTTAAACTTGAATCAACTCGACTAACTCGAATACTCATCCCAAATTTCCTCATACCCTAATTCATTTGTCGATTTAAGTCCATTTTATCAAATTTGAATTATATACTTCTTTAACGCTATAGAATATCTATGTAACTCCAGTTCCTATTTTTAAAAAACAAATATACTCTTTTTATAATTTAGTCTTCAACGTTGCATTTTATATTTAATTTGGGGTTTTATTGTATTTCTTGTGTAAATTATTTCTTTTCAATAATTCTTTGATTCTTTTATATCATTACTTTTCCCCTAAATATCTTCTTTTAAAAAATAAAATCAATAATATATTTTATACTTTTAGATGACATTTGATTTATTAAATGACATTATAATTTGAAAAAAATATAATATGTATCTTATATTATTATAGAAATCATTAAATTAAACTAATATATCATGTAACATTATAAATACTTATGAAAATTTTACAACGCTCGACGAGTATCATTAATTTAATTTATAAAAATTTAAATGATTCAACGTATAAGTATAATTTAGTTAAAAATTTGAAGGTAAATTATTTAAAATAAAATATTAATTACATTATTTTTTCCATAAACATTTTTAACAAAATTTTAAAGGTAAATTATATTTTTTATTGTTAAAAAATTATAGAAAATATTGTAATTGATATTTTATTTTAAATAATTTACCTTTAAATTAAGTTAATGACGTTCAATGGTGCTCATCGTTAGCGGTATTTAGCGGAGTTCGTCCAACGTGATAGACTTATTTAAATACTTATAATTAAATTTAAATAGAACCAAAAAAATTTAACTTGATTAGACTATACTTAAAACAAATGTAGATAAATTCTAAATATTAAAGTAAGACTAAATCAATTTGATTAATTTGAAATTTATTAATTTAATTTAATTCGATTGAATACTCAATCTTAAATAAATGAAATAGAAGGTTTATGGGAAAATGTATCCCATCCCTACTAAAGTTAAAACTCCAATTGGAATGTTTAAAATCAGACAACTGTAAAACACACCCCATCAGGTCGTCTCATACTGTACGATGCTGCGAATCATAATCATAATAATTAATGTTATTAGTATAATGCATTTCATTTCTTATTAATTAAAAATTAATATTTTAATACATTTCATTCTTATTAATTCCTAAGAAACTATCATACAAACGTTTGGCGAAATCTCTCTAGCTACAAAGCTAGCTGTTTAGTTTTCATCACAAAAAGTATGGTTCATTGCAGCATCCTTAAGAACTATGGTTGTTGGGTCCGGTCCTGGAAATAAGACAAGCGGAGAAGACAGAGGAGTGGCATGGCATGATGAGAATTCAGGGTTTTAAAAAACGGTATGCGACCATAATTTCAGCCGCGCTATAACGATTCCGCCGCCGTTCAAGTTACCCGCGACGGTCGTAATAGCGTCCGCGATGGCTGCAATAACCGCGACGGCCGTAATAACGCCCGGCCGCAATCATGGTAAATCCAAAATAATCGAAAACCTGATGGCGACCGCTATTTGACACCCTGGATGAGATTACCCGTCAAATAATAATAAGAAATTGGAAATATTTGGAGTATGTTATTAAGAGGTAAATTATATTCCATAAACGAAAGAACGAAGGACTTTTGTTGGCATGCACGCATGATGTTGTTTACACAAACCCCGAGAATTCAAACACCACGACGTGGGCTTGGCTACGATATTCCTTGCTCATGCATGTGCCCGGGCCAGCCCCACCCTCTCATTCGTTATAATATACTAATTTATTGTGTTAAAACATCAGAGAACTGATATAATATTTGGTTCAAAACAATGGCTGCTGTTAGCTGCCTGACCTGAAAAGCTGCTACCCTTTCTTCCAAGCCCATCAAACATGCCTCGATGAACAAATTCCCTTTAACTGGATCCGGGATGATGAGATAATGGGTACCCCATTTCTTAATAACGATGCAACTCTTTTTCTGCAATTAATGACCCATCTGACTTTCTACTCAAATGCGTTCATAGGAAGCCTTTTTAGTTGTGTATGTTGGTGTCATAGGGTTTGAGTAAAGGGAGGAGACAGGAGCAATAAAAAATATAGGGAAGCGTGGCCTCTGGATGACAGTCCATGGCATTGGAATGACCTACCTTGGAACAAAAGCATTGATTGATGCCATTCACCTTCAAGATTCCAAAAAGTGCTCATTTCGTCTCTCCATTAAAGTGCACCATATAAATTATACTAATGTGTGTATAATCGTTTTTGAAGAAAATCTGGTTTTTTTTCAAAGTTTTAAACTCAAAATGTGGAACTTCTATAATATTTATAGGATTTTTTTTGTGTGAAACGTTTCAAACATCTGTTACTGAAATGTTGGGAGCGGTTTGGCTCTCAATCTCACTTCTTCTTTGTTAAAAGTTTCAAAGTTTGGCAACCAACTTTGGAAAAAGTTTTTTTCAAAGTTTGGTAAATGTTTCTTTGAAAAATGTTTTTCAAAGTTTGGTAAAATTTTGGTAGATGTTTGTTGAAAATAGGAATGGGTAAATTCACTTTAGTCATTGCACTTTAGGGTATTTTCAAAGATTAGTCCCTAAGTTTCTACTATAAATACCCTTACCCATTTAGCTTCAAAATCATCCCAAAACATTTATTTCTTCTTATACTAGAGAGCTTTCTTGTGAGTAGTGAGTGTTTTGTAAACACCTGTAAATTTTCTCTCTTAGTAAAAGATCTGCAGCAGCCCGGAGACGTAAGCACAATTGGCTGAACTCCGTTATCAATTTTCGGGTATTATTTTTCCGCTTTTATTTCGCATTCTCACTAATCTGGTTATAGGGAAATTACTTGTACTCGGTTTATTTTCCTAACAACTGGTATCAGAGCTTTTGGTTGTGAATTTTGCCAATTTTTCTGCGAGGTTACTATTCATTACTATTCACGTGAATAGTGCATTTCGTGAATAGTGAAATTTCGGTCGGCGATACGAGTTTGTCGACAGTGGTGTTCTAATACACGGTGGTTCGCAAGAATTGTCAGAAACAATCCAAAAGAAGCCAGATTCGAGTGGAAGCGATGGCTGCAGACGAAGAGAAGGTGAAAATTGAAAAGTTCGATGGTGTGGACTTTGGCTTTTGGAAGATGCAGATTGAAGATTTTCTGTACCAGAAAAATCTTTATCAACCTCTCTCAGGAAAGCAACCAGAGGGCATGAAGAATGAAGACTGGGCTCTTCTCGACC